GGGCGCTCGTCACGGAGGCGGCGTCGTTTGGGCGCGGACTGTCGTCGGCCACAGGGACCCGCGCGGCAGAGGCTCCTTCCCCAGGCATGGTTGCAGCGAGGCGAAGCCGTGTTGAGCGAAAGGTGGTGAGGGCGGGGAGTGTCGAGGACCAAGGGCGAGCTAGGTCGGTGTGGGGGGGTGCGGGATCAATGCGCTCGACTCGCGGGGTCGGGACGACTCGGCTGCTGGTCGGCGGGATGCATTAAGAGCGTCTCCGGTCGGAGGGCGCAGGTTGGCTTCCTTTGGGATCGGTACGGACAGTTCTGAAGGTATCGGGGCGGCCAGGGCGGCCAGGGCGGCGTGGGTTGCTGGAGTCAACAGTCAAAGTCAATTCGGCGCTGGTGAGTTGATTTGGGACAAGTCCTGACTGACCTTCAAAGTTGGTGGGGCAGCGCTGTTGCCGCTGGGCCGCCCCACCACCTTATCCAAGACCCACTTTAAGGTGCCTATTGCAAACAAAATGTCGAGTGTGCAGATCGAAGGTTCGACATAATTTGAAGATCAGAATTGCGTCCTCGTTGTCGAATGGTGTATTCAACCGGCCTGCATCAATCGATGGCCCACAACAGCAGCCTTGAGCCTCAAATACGCTGTGCAACGGTTTGTAAACCTCTTCGCAGGTTGCACTGTACTTCGAATCGAGAAACTTGCAAGTCGGACAGCAGCTCTGGCTGCCCCACCGCCTCGCCAAGCTTTTGGAATGCAAGAAACCTGAACCGCTGATTGATTGCATTTGAGTCACCGACAAAAACATCAACACTGCAGCTGACCATGCACAGTCAATTTACAGAGCTGGTGGGTGCGATTCGGGCAACCCTGCGAGGCGACACCAGTGGTGCCTTCTCTCATTTTTCAGCCGGCGCCTGGAGTCGGAGAGCTGTTTATCTGTTTATTGTTGAACTTGACCAGGTTCTGCAACCCGGTTTCCATCCAATCTCAATTGAGCCGGGCTTGCTCAGCGGCCTTGGCTCTCCTCGGCCTTCGGGAGGGGATCGGGGCTCCCTTGCTATTTCGAGCGCGAGCCGCCGTGCAGTCTGGAATCCCTGGGGAATGGAGAAACTTACAACGGCGGAGCCGAGGATACCGGTAATGTCCGCCCCCCGGGAGCTTAAACGGACGATAGACGTTCGACGAGGGTGCTCCTGGCGGCGAGGTGGCTGCAGATCACCATCAACGTGCACTGTCACGAGATTTACTTTCATGCACAATGCCTTCGTTGCTTCGGTAGTCGTGAGCGGGCCGCAGGAATTTAAACGCCGGCAACAAGAGCAGCCTCCCCCACCAGTCCCTCGATGCCGGGGTGATCCTGGAGGAGGTTCAGGATGGGCAGAAAAACTTTCGCTTCGCCGTCCCTCCCTGCGATAACGGCCCTGACGTCAGACCAACCCATCCACTCCCACCGCTCGCACTTTTCCGGCTCGAGGTTCTGCAACGTCTGTCAACACTCGAAGCGACAATAAGATGAGACTAGGTGGAACGAGTCGACACACCTCTGGCTCCTGACTCTCATCGACCCTTCGACACAGCACAAAGATGGTAATGTAATGCTTCGTCGGGCTGAACACGTCGTTGGTCAGGCCGAGCAGCTTCTCCGCGCGGACCACAAGCCCCGTCTCTTCGAGCGTCTCTCGTTCGGCGCACGCAAAGTAGCTCTCCCCGACCTCGAGATGGCCGCCGGGGAACTGCCACTGACCTGAGCCGTGTCGATATCCGGTGTCAGTAACCGTTGGAAACGGGCCTGATTCAGGCAATCGCCATCTGAAACAAAGCACCAACTCAAAGCACTGTACGCACCGTTACCGTGCGATACCTTCCGCACGCCCATCACCATCCGCCCCTGTGCGTCCCGGACGACGGCAGCAACGCCGACACGGACAATCGGAGCCTGTGTCGTCATCGTGATGTTTGGTGCTCTGCGGAGATAATCGTTCGAGTTCGGTTAGGTTGCACGATTGGAGGTTGCACTGCAGAGATTGGGCGAATCGGAAAATTACCACCGTTTCCAATCCCACTCACTCGTCGTTTTGCGGATCCAGCACACCATCCCGGCCTTAACCAAGAGCGGGAAGACTCACCTCGATATGAACCTTTATGGCGGGGAGCTCTTGCACTTTCCTCCGACGACAGTATATCAACACAGTGGTGAACACAGACAAGTCGAGACGTCCAGAACTGCGACTATGACAGGAAACATTCCCGTTCTTGTCCTCGATCAATCCATGATAATTTGAAGATTTCAATCCCGGAGCTTCAGATGCAATCCGGCCGCGAAAGAGACAAACATCGCTCACGCGTGAACACAGCCCCGGGCCTTGATCTACCCCAAGCCAAGACCCGTACTCAAACCCGTTGCCGGTTGCGTCTGGAAATCTGAGGATTCTGTCGGACAAAGAGATAATACATCAACCCTCGCCGTCTCCCGACATTGAGAAAGCGTTCCGTCACTCGTCCTATTCTTCACGAAACAAACCGGAATCATTATTGCCGCGTGCACTATTGAAATAGTCTCTCTGCGAACCCCGCATTGCGTGACGACAATAGGATCCGGAGAATGGATACGAGCAGGGACCCGAACTAGCAGGCAGCTGAGCTTTGGCAGAGCGTATATAAGGTAATTAACCCGCATTCCCTCGCCGAGGGACTGGGTTCACATCAAAGGCAACCCGGCAGTCTGAGCGCAGCTAGCAAAACACGACCACCATGACAACGCCAAAGCCCGCAACCGACACCATTGTCAGACAGCAGGAGGAGGTGAGGCGGAGTTTGCCCTTCAACGACACCCAAGACTTTGAAGACGCGTCGAGGGGTTTTATCGCGTCCCGGAATCCCAACATTGTCACCAATGCAGACGGCCGGCCCGTGTGGGACAACCATGTGTACGGTTTTCTCAAGAACGCCCCCCCGAATGAAGCCAACCCGAGCCTCTGGCGCCAGTCTCAGCTCACGGCCAAGGACGGGCTGTTCCAGGTTACCGACGGCATCTACCAGGTCCGCGGGCTCGACATCTCCAATGTCACCTTCATCGAAGGCAACGAGGGGGTCATTGTCATCGACCCTCTCACCTCACAGGAGACCGCAGCCGCTGCGCTCCAGCTCTACCAGGACCATCGCGGCTCACGGCCCATCAAGGCTGTCATCTACACGCACTCCCACCTCGACCACTTTGGCGGCGTGAAAGGCATGGTCACGCAGGAAGATGTCGACGCGGGCAAGGTGACCATCCTCGCGCCCGAGGGCTTTCTCGAGCACGCCGTCGCAGAGAACGTCTTCGCAGGCACCGCCATGGGCCGCCGCGCCGCCTACATGTACGGCGCCGGCATCGACCGCGGCCCCAACGGGCAAGTCGGCTGCGGGCTGGGCCAGGCCGTCTCGACTGGCACCTTTACCCTGATCGCCCCTACCGACACCGTCTCTACGACCGGCGAGACGCGGACCATCGACGGCGTGCCAATCGAATTCCAGATGGCGCCCGACACGGAGGCGCCCTCGGAGATGCTCGTCTACTTCCCTGCGCACAAGGCCCTCTGCGCGGCCGAGGACGCGACGCACACCTTCCACAACATCCTCACGCTGCGCGGCGCCGTCATCCGCGACCCGCACGGCTGGGCCAAGTACCTGACCGAGACGATCGACCTCTTCGCGGCGCGCGCCGACGTCGTCTTCGCCTCGCACCACTGGCCCGTCTGGGGCGGCGAGGCCCGCATCCGCCCCTTCCTCACCCAGCAGCGCGACCTCTACGCCTACGTCCACGACCAGACCCTCCGCCAGCTCAACCAGGGCCTGACGGGCCCCGAGATCGCCGAGACCTTCTCCCTGCCCCCCGCCCTCGCCGCCGCCTGGAACACCCGCGGCTACTACGGCTCCCTCAGCCACAACGTCAAGGCCGTCTACCAGCGCTACATGGGCTGGTTCGACGGCAACCCGTCCAACCTCTGGACCCACCCGCCCGTCGCCCGCGCCCGGCGCTACGTCGCGCTGCTGGGCGGGCGCGACGCCGTCGTCTCCGCCGCGCGGGCCGCGTTCGACGCGGGCGACTTCCGCTGGGCCGCCGAGCTGCTCAACCACGCCGTCTTCGCCGAGGAGGACGATCCCTCTTCCCCCTCCTCCTCCTCCTCCAATCCGGCGAGGGCCTTGCTGGCGGACACGTACGAGCAGCTGGGCTACGGCGCCGAGAACGGGCCCTGGCGGAACTTTTACCTGTCCGGCGCGAAGGAGCTGCGCGACGGCAAGACGTTTGGCACGCCGACGGCGACGGGATCAAAGGACATTGTCGCGCAGCTGACGCCCGAGATGGTGCTGGACGCGCTGGCCGTGCAGGTCGACGGTCCGCGGGCGAGCCGGGAGGATATCCGGGTGGACGTGGTCGTGACCGACTTGGGCGAGTCAGGGACGACGTACCGCGTGTGGCTGTCGAACGGGGCGCTGGTGTACAGCAAGAGGAAGCAGCCCGGGGAGGCGCAGGTGTCGGTGACGGGGACGGCGAGGCGGCTGACGGCGCTGGCAGTGTTTAGGTTGGATCCGGGGAAGTTGGTGGAGGCGGGGGTGAGGGTGGAGGGGGATAAGGGGGCGTTGGAGAGGTTGGGGTCGTTGCTGGATCCGGGGGATCCGAGTTTTAATATTGTCACGCCGTGAGGTTGGGTGGATCCTAGAGAGAAGTTAGTGCAAACTGTTGATGTATAAGCTCGCCGCCATACTTCGGCGTCTTCGTCCCACAAATAGGAGCTGATACCCCTGACTCGACAAAGTGGATCCACTAGGACGAGAGACAGAGAAAAGTCAAGCATTGTGCTAACGATAGAAGAATAAGTTAGCTCGGTGGACCAGTTCCAAGGGTATTTTTGGAACCAAGCCTGCATGTCCGACAAGCTTTGTTCTCACCTCCTTGAAACAATCTCAACGCCTCTCCCAAGCGTCCGTCGCTGAGATCCGCCACACTCAGCCCTCGCAAAAGCAAAAAAACGCACCCAACGTGGGACTCGAACCCACAGCCTTGAGATGAATAGAAAAGGAAAGAGATCTAGAAGTCTCATGCGCTAACCAATTGCGCCAGCCGGGCCAATTAGTCCGGCGACATCCGAAAAGGGGCCTATGAAAGCAGACCACAGTCGGCATACGACGCTGGAGTCATACATGGACTACCGTCGGGTTAGGCAGCAAAGAAACAGAGCTGGGCTCCTAGAAAGCTGCTCGTTGTTTTCAGTCCAGAGGTTCGAGTGATCTGCGTACCAGTGCTGGCAAAACACACCTTGCGGGCTCGGGTGTATTGCCACCACTGTGACCCCAACCCGGTTTTGATTCAAGGAAGTTCGTTTAGGCTTGGCAAAACGAAGCGAACTGGAGAGTCGCGCCACAAGAGTCGGCAGATGAGAAAAGAGCTTGATTGGTGGCTTTTAACAGTTGCAAGCGGAGGAAGAAGAGGTCTCAGGATCGCCCATTGTTGGCGAAACCGTACGCGACAGTCTTTGGCGAGGTGGAAATAGGCAACGGGAGCAACGGGCCTCCCAGGCGGTCTTTCCTGCGTATTCACAACGTTCCAGTGCTGACATTTCAGCCACGCGAGTTGCATTCCTGCTTTGGGGTCGGCTATGGCCCGACGCCCTGGATAGAGTTTGGGAAAAGGGGAAAGTAGGAGAAAGACATCCTGTTTCAGAGCCATGCTCGAAATGCTCTAACCAAATCCAGAGATCCGGAACAGGACATGCGAGAGCCCCTACACATGCGCCTCCTTTAATCCCTGAAAGTCTCTCTCGCCCCCTCCTTTCGCTTCTCATGATTGATCGCTTACCGATGAGATCTGCATACCGTACACCCAGCGTGTGTAATCAAGGGACTATTCGCAAATGGTCAAATCGCCGTGGACGCGGTGAGGGTTTACGCGAAGGAATGGGAGTGACCGAATGGGGCGTGTTATAGACAGGGGTTACTTCATATAACTTCATTTTAAGTTGAACGGCGCGCCAGAGATGTGCGGAAACCGTGGAAACAGAGGTTTCGATGCCTATGGTATGCTCGGTTCAGATTGTACATTTTGAGGTACCGAGGACCTATACGCATTCTTGGGAACGTTTATGCACATCTCCTGCTTGCTGGCATCTCCGCCGCAACCTATGAGGTTAACCAAAACCTACTGAACTGGTACATGTACCATTCAAAAGAGGTCGAAAAGCTCACGGCAATCTTGTGCCCAAAGACCAGACTCTGCCAGTCAAGCCGTGACCATCTGCCGATTCACAACCATCTGCCGATCGCGACCCTTGCCAGATTGGTCACGGACCTGAGCTTTTGAAACCCCCCGTGGTCACCTATGGACATTCCTTCCGGCGGAGGCGTTGGCTCTCCACGGTGTTTCATGCCAAGCAGCCCACCTCGGCGAGGCTCTAACTTGTTGTGGTACTGAACATGCGCGGAAGCCAAGCCAAGCCAAGCCCGCAGACAATTCTGTCGACGAATCGACAACATGTGATAGGCGCGGCTACCAGCGTAGGTTGTATCGTTGACGGGCACTCATGGAAAGGGAAACCGGGTCGGCGGACCTGTTCCGTTGGGAAACACTCAGACAGTAGTACTACGGTAAACAAGCAAAGCATAAAATGGACAAGAGATTACTTGAAGGTTATCGGTCTTGTCGTCCACTACCCGTCCGCTTCTACGTGCAGCCTTCCTTGGAGCAACAATCATGTATACTCTTGCGTTCGCGCTCGCCCTCGCCCCCGCCGCTGTGCTTGCCCAGTCCCCTCTGTGGGGCCAGTGTATGTGACAGTTCTCGCCCATCATCGCCACCAGACTGACTAATTTCGTTTGTCTTACAATAGGCGGCGGTCAAGGCTGGTCGGGTCCCACGACCTGCGTTTCTGGATCAGTGTGCCAAAAGAGCAAGCAAGTAGCTCCTCCTCCGAGCAGATAGTTGCTCCTTTCCGTTAAGAGTATCACTAACTGGTCTTCCCAGTGACTGGTACTCTCAGTGCGTGCCCGGATCAGGGAACCCTCCTGCGGTAACCACCACTGGAAGCACTCCGGCGCCAACCGGCGGCGGCAGCAGCGGTGGGAGTGGGCTGCACAACAAATTCAAGGCCAAGGGGAAGCTCTACTTCGGAACCGAGATCGACCACTACCACCTCAACAACAATGCGTTGACCACCATCGTCAAGAACAGCTTTGGGCAGGTCACCCACGAGAACAGCCTGAAGTGGGATGCTACTGAGCGTAAGCGTTTTCCAGCCCTAGGTCGCTGAAGCGAACTGGTATATATGCTAACTCCCAATGTGAACCATGCTAGCGAGCCGCAACTCATTCACCTTCTCCAACGCTGACGCCGTTATCAACTTTGCTCAAGCAAACGGCAAGCTCATTCGTGGTCACACCCTCCTCTGGCACTCCCAGTTGCCGCAGTGGGTGCAGAACATCAACGACCGCAACACCTTGACTCAGGTCATCCAGAACCACGTCACCACGATTGTCACCCGCTACAAGGGCAAGGTCCTTCAGTGGGATGTCGTCAACGAGATCTTTGCCGAGGATGGCTCGCTCCGCGACAGCGTCTTCAGCCGCGTTCTGGGCGAGGACTTTGTCGGCATCGCCTTCCGCGCAGCGCGTGCCGCCGACCCTGCCGCGAAGCTCTACATCAATGACTACAACCTCGACATCGCCAACTACGCCAAGGTCACCCGTGGCATGGTCGAGAAGGTCAACAAGTGGCTCGCTCAGGGCATCCCCATCGACGGCATCGGCTCCCAGGCTCACTTGGCCGCTCCCGGCGGATGGAACTCTGCCTCTGGTGTTCCCGCTGCCCTGAAGGCTCTCGCCGCGTCCAACGTCAAGGAGATTGCCATCACCGAGCTCGACATCTCCGGTGCCTCCGCCAACGATTACCTCACCGTCATGAACGCCTGCCTCCAGATCTCAAAGTGTGTTGGCATCACCGTCTGGGGAGTGTCGGACAAGGACAGCTGGAGATCGAGCGACAACCCGCTCCTCTTTGACCGCAACTACCAGGCCAAGGCAGCGTACAACGCCTTGATCAATGCCCTGTAAAGGGTGGTCTAGGGAGTGTACGTGAGCGCCACTTGCGACTATGAGACTGGAGGAAGCGGGAGAAGCGGTTCTTAGGTCCCCCTAATAAGAAGAGAGTTTCGCCAGTTGGCGATGCCTGGAGTCCAATCACGGAACCCTCTTTGACCGGAACCAACAGACGTAGCTTGGCAAACTTAGCAAATCAACTACATAATTCTTCGCAAGTGGAAAAAACGGTCATGCGCAAATGCTAAAGAAGCATGAACACCATGGTGCTAACGCGCAAAAAACGGCCGCTCAATGCAAACTCGGGCGTTTATTATCTTTATTCTTTACATAAATGACCACCTCCTTTGGCGCGGCTGCGCCCTCAAACATCCTTTCCATATCTTATCCACCGTCACTCTCTTCCTCCCTATCACCTCCGACACCACCTTCCAACCTCACCCAACCCTGCCCCATCAGACAATACACAACCGGCTTCCCCCCCTTTTCAGCGGTATTTACGCCGACACGAACCCGAACTCCTTGATTCCAATACTGCAACAGTATCATGATGATCGTTTCATTGTGGTACACATCCACTGCAAGCGCCGTGGCCTGATGAACAACCTTGCCGTCGACCAAGCCAACACCCGGCACGGCCAGGTCAATGGATCCTTGCAGAGAAACGGCAACCCAATCCGCGGATGGTACACGGTGGTCGTGATTGATAGAGGTGGTGCTCGGTCCTTCCGGTCTCCAACAGGACGTGGGTTGGACCCTGCAAGAAACCGCAACCTAGACGGTCTGGGCACGCAAAACAGGCTCGCCATCCAGCTTACCTTATCCAGCGGACCCGTAGCTGGGGCGCCAACCTCGATTTGTTTGACCAGCCGAACCCGGACCCCGCCACGCTCCTGCGACAGGAGAGGGCGTTGGAACGGGCACCTATATCATAGACAGTAAAGGACATACGATCCCCATGTTTCACCGCGCGCTGTGGGAAAATAGTAATCGCGGTGGCATTGTATTTGCCTCGGACGGCTCGCTGTGTGACCCGTATACGAGGAACGGTGGTGATATTGTCAACACACCTGGCTTCTACAGGCTCTGATGGCGCACACTCAAGAAGAACCAGGGTAAGCAATGGGGACTATGGGAATGATGCAGTTCATTTGAATACATACTAGAGAAGTACTCGTCACTTCGTTGTGACAACAGTGTATATAAGGCAGTTTAGTGGAAAACGCTAGTTGACATCGGATATTTCATTTGTGATTGCCTTGGTGGTTCCCAACTTTCGTAGTCCCAACCCCGACTCTGCACCCAGAAGCTCGTTTACTGCAGCGATCCCGAGGAAAGGGACGCGTCGCTCAAGCCCTGTCTGCTGCCCTGCCGGTCGCGAGCGGTTGGTCATTGGTAAAACTGTGTAATTAAAGGTACATGTACATGTACCTAAAGATCCGCGAAACGTGCTCAATCCCACCCCCTGACTTGCAGCACTGACCAATCATTGGCAGCGCAATTCATGCGAGACGTCGAAACAAGCTCAATTCTTCTCTCGGGACAGGACTAGTCTGCAGGTGGCTGAATGGCACATGGGTGGAACAGGGAGTGCTGTTTTGGTGCATTCCAGCTGCTCTGCCGATGGAACGTCGCGAGATCATAGGCAGCGCGGAAGTTCCTTCACCGGCAGACCGGGTCAGGGGAGCGTGCCCAACTGAATTCTGCACTGGGTATATACCCGTTCCGCTCTTTTCTTGGCCCATGAGAAGACCTTCACACTTGCTGCGTCTCTTGGCCGGCACGACCTTCTGCAGCCCTCCCGCCATGGCCGCTCCGCTGTTTGCGTTTCTGCTGCTACCACTTTCCTGTCTCGTTCACAACGTCGTCGGATACAAGCATGGCATCGTCGGCTATGGTATCTCCTTGTACCCCGACTTATGCTGCCAAGCATGCCATGACTCCCTCTCGTCTCTGTACCTGACCTGCACCACTTTTGACCATGGCGACATGGGGGATATGGGGGATATGGGGGGAATGGGAGACATGGGGATGATGGGC